GAAAAGAAAAGAAAAGAAAAGAAAAGAAAAGAAAAGAAAAGAAAAGAAAAGAAAAGAGGGGAGGAATCCCTGTGTTCATAATTGAAATCCATATAGAAGTTCAGTATGTGTCTGGCCAAAAGTCTGCCCAGATGTCAGTGGCCATGTTGTTCTTTTTCATACATAACATGAGCTCTTGAGAAACCTAAAGAAATTTCAAGATTGCTCCAAGAAATGTATACAAACTTGGTTCCCAGATGTCAGGTTACATGAAAAATATTTGTGGTCTATGTAATGACTTACCTCTCCATCAAAAACCATCTCATATTCTTCCCTGTTTTTAATTTTAGTATAGAGGTACTCTGACAATTCCAGACATTTGTTGATCTGATTTTCAAATCCCACTGTACCCTATTTTAAAAAGAAAATGTTTTATTAGTTAAAAAAGTTTCCCCCCTCTGTTTCCCCTGGAACACCGGGCAGCCAGGAGGTGCAGTCCGAGTGCCAGGTGGGCGGCGCAGCCCTGGCCCCAGTGCCAGCTGTCCCGAGTCCTAGTTGCAGGCCGGCCCATCCCAGCCCCAGCCAGCCTGGGCCACGGAAGAGCGACGGGAACTGAAGGAAGGGGCATGGGGGCGGAGCCTGGATGGAGCCATGCCAGGCTGTTTGGGGACGCACAGTCTCCCCTGGCCTATATACCCGCTGTCCAGGCTCTCAACCACAAAAGAGAATGTTTGTAGTGAGGTTGGTCTGCCAAGAGAGGGCCACAGTGTGGACCGAATGACTGCTGATTTTGTCGAAGAAAGCCAAAGGCACTGAAAACACATGCTAGACTGATTTTTAGAAGGCCAACTGATCTATGGGCGACTCAGGGTTGACAGGGTTCTGTAGCCAGTCAATGATGATTAGTATTATACATATAATATTTTCAAGTTATGGGTCACAGTTCCATTTTAATTAATCATTGGTGGATTTATATCCTGGAGCTGCAGCCCCAAAAAGATTTGATCTGGAGAAAGAACTGGTATTCAGTGTACTCAGAACTGCCACTAAATTTGTGTTGGATACCACAGTAATTGGTAAAATGAACACAAGAAAAGATAATTTAGGATGTTCCAATAATTCTTCATGCTTTTGCAAATCTGAATGTTAATATTTTATTCAGTTGTATTTCCTTTGCTGCAGTATTTTTAAAGACACTCTGATAACTCAGAGAAAACTTTGAAAAAATATTTTGTTTAAAAAACAGAAATAGAGAAGCATACTTGTTATTTGCTTCCCTCACTCTTAATATTAAAGAAATTTGTAGTAAGCAGGAGCTTTTATTCATCAGAGGTTATGTGCTGCTTAATCCTCCTCTGAAGTCAAAATCCTCTTTATATAATTTTAGAGTGTGCCACAGGAATAATTATGATTTTATAAAGGATTAGATTGTGGCCACCTTATCAACTGAATCACACATTTAGGTAATTTTGCCTGACTGAGCACTGCAGGAATGGCCACAGAGTATTACAATTTCATGTAGAGAAATAGAGAGGAAGAAAGAAGTATTAACAGGAAGAAAATGTGTTTACCTGCAAATCTGGGCCTCGATCCCACAAATACTTATGCACGTGCTCAACATTAGTCACATGAGAAGCCGCATTGACTTCAATGTGATTAATGTTAAGCATTAGCCTAAGCGTTTGCTGTCTCAGAGCCTTGTGAACCAATCCTGCTGTCCTTTGTCAGGCAAAGCTCTTCATAGAACCAAATTTTGTTTTCTAAGTTTTCCATAAAGTCCAAACAACTCTTTTAAAGAAGCAATGTAGGTATTTTCTCTCTTACATACACACAAATTAAATATATTTCTGAGTCATTTTAATTGGACATTTATTGTTTACCTTAGCTTTCCACATCAACCAGAATTTGAAAATGTCCACATGACGACCACATTGTATTGCTTTATCTCCAGTGTCATAGGATATATCATATTGTTTATCTTGCTGGAATAGATATCCTGCACACATCTGATTGCAACCTTGAAGTATACCCTATTATGAAAAAGCAAATATATATAACACATATGTAAATATAAATATATCCATTGAATATATATAAACAAACATATATTGTAAAAAAAATGTGCTTTTAGGGACTACATTTTCAGATACTGACCTGCTTTTGAGGGCACAAGCTGTAGACATAATTTTGTGCTCTCAAGTTGGTCATTTAGATGTCTAAGTTCCTGATTATTCAAGTGGTGAAGCTGCATGCATATCACACTGAGACATTACATGCATATCACACTGAGATAAAAATAAGTTTTAACAATACTTAAAATAATATTACTGAAAATGCCAGCCTAAATGTATTTGAATTCTTAGTATTCCAAACAAATGTTTCCTGCCTTATACTCCTGGATTCTAGAATTTGAGACTGCTTTTTCTTAGAAAATAAGACTTTTAAGAGTTAATTTTTCATTGTAATTTTCTTTGTTGCTATATGTTTATATTGAACTGTGAGACTGCGTAAGCTCATTCTGGTGCATAAATTAACTTAAAGTGTGGAGGAAGGCTTCAACTCCATTTAGGGCCCAACTCTGGTACTACTAAACATCAGTAATAAGTATGAGCATAACTGGGCCCATACTAGACACATCTAGTATGCTTTAACAATAAAAAGAAAAAGAACTGTTCTACTTCTTCACTAGCTCAATTAGTAATACTATTTTTCCTTGATTGCATATGATCTATACCGGGGTAGACAACCTATGGCATGCGTGCCAAAGGCGGCATGTGAGCTGATTTACAGTGGCACTCACAGTGCCCGGGTCCTGGCCACCGGTCCGGGGGGCTCTGCATTTTAATTTAATTTTAAATGAAGCTTCTTAAACATTTTAAAAACCTTATTTACTTTACATACAACAATAGTTTAGTTATATATTATAGACTTATAGAAAGAGACCTTCTAAAAATGTTAAAATGTATTACTGGCATGCGAAACCTTAAATCAGAGTGAATAAATGAAGACTCGGCACATTGCTTCTGAAAGGTTGCCGATCCCTCTACACAGTAATATAAAGAGAAACCAAAGTTCTCATGTTCTGAATTATAATATTAAGAACGTAGACTATACTTTCATCTTTAGATCTCAAAGCACTTTACAAAGGAAAGCAATTATCCCCATTTTATGTTGGGGAAACGGAAGCACCGAGAAATGATGTGATTTGTCCAAGGTCACTCAGTAGGTCATGGCATGACTAGAACTGAGGCCTTCCAAGTCCCACTCTTGTGATATATCCAGTCGACCAGTGTTTCTTAACCTTTTTGTTGCCAGGGACCAGCTTGCTGCCTTCCTAAACTGTGTCAGTGAGCTCTCAGGGACCAGCACCAGTCTACGGACTGGTCGTTGAGAAACATTGCACTAGAGACTAGACCACACTGCCTCTCTAAGTACCCATTTCCAAGACTGGTAGTTAGACAAGTTAATGGAAATTAGAAAGATTAAAATGTCCTGCTCATAGATGATAATATTCACATATTGAAAGAGAAGTATTTGGATCCTAATCCTGCTCCAATTGATGACGAAGTCCTAAAATTGCTTCTGGAGTAGAACAAAAAGTAATGTGGCTGCTTTCCAACAAGATTTTAAACTCTTAAGCCACTTGTGCAATGCAAAATGTTTGCTGTTTATTTTTAAAGCCTAACATTTGTCCAATTATCAAGTCACAGGGTGCACGTACCATATTTTATAAAAACACAAGGCCAGATCCTCAGCTGGTATACATCAGCATGATTCCACTGACATCACTGAAGCAATCTGAGGATCTTGCCCCATGGTGTTTACTATGTTAACCAAAAGCTGAGAAAGGAAAAAGTACTTACCTCCTCCTCCAAATAAAACAAACATAAATCTACCCAACTTTTCCCTTCAGAAAGAAGCCTACAAAGAAACAGGCCTTGCAGCATGTCCTAAAAAATCAGGGCTCATTTCACTAATTGTTCTATTGCAAGACTATCAAACAATATAAAACAGACCTTTTCCCGAATCAGAATGGCCGAACATTGTAACAAAACTCCCATCATCTTGTGTGGATTCCATGTGACCGAATTGGCTCTGCAAAAGAATTATGCCCTCAGAGTAGATATGGAAAACAAAGATAAACTTACACCACTGTAAAGCCAGTGTAATGACAAGAGAATTGTCATAAACAGGTTAGGTGTTTTGCCTAATTGATCTAACTATGGAGGGTATCAGTGTCTTTGATGTCACCTTTCCCAGATGTGCTGCCTAGGAAAGCAGTTCTTCCAGGATTGATATTACTGTGTCAGACAATAGTGATTACTTGGTATTGTAATTAATGTCAACTAATTAGTGTCAAACTATGCTGATTACTTGATATTATAACTTTATTCCCAGAAGAATCACCTTCTGGAGACAGCACTAACAGGAATAACAAAAACAGCACGACAGCTTCGATTAGTTCAAAGTATCTGCAGGTGGGCAGGGAATTATGGAGACATTCTCACACTCCAGGTATCTGTAGTTCTTTGCTAAATGGCTGGTGCTGTTATAGTTCTCCAGTAGGAAAAGAAAAGAAAAGAAGCTGCTAATTCATACCCACTTTTCCAGCTAAAGCTCTAAGGGATCTTTTTCTTGTTAATTTGTCAAACATATAGGTTGTTAAGAGGCTATAAAAATCCCTACAGTGCATGCCAAACATATAATGTATAAACTTTTTAGGCTGAAGAGTCAATGAATGTGCAAGATCAGTTAATTTACTTGCCAAGCAGGTGAGATGTCCTGTGTTTTAAACACACTATCCTAGATAATTTCAAGGTGTTGCTAGAAGAAATGTTCCAACATTTTGCTGTTACTGCCCTCTCCATTCCATCTTATTAACTACTGAATATCCCCTTGTGTAACTATGTATTTAGATTCTTTAAAGAGAGAAAGTATATAGTATGGGTAAGATTTTTCATGGTATTTGCCTGGGTGCACACAGGGTGGGGAAGGACAATTCAAAGAGTCGTTCTCTTTCCTTGCATCCCCCTCTCAAGGGCCAGAAATAATCATAGTCCCTGCATTCTGGGGAGCACAGTGACTGGTCCACCCTAGTGGCCACAAATGGAGCAGGTGTGCCTCTGCTACCAGAGATATCTCAGGGATGGAGAATGGAGCACATCCACCAAAGGAATAGCGCAGCATGTGTGGTCACCCTGCACCTCTGGGAACTCGTAGTCCCTCCAGGAACTCCTCTTTGTGTAATGCCGTCCGATACAGGCCCTGCATGCATAGAGCACAATCTGACCTCTTTGCATAGAAACCAGACTTTGTATGGGATGTGATTTTTTTCAAAAAAGTTCAATGGCATATTAGAAGAAACATTTAGGAAGTAGAATTTATTTGTTATATTTTCAACTGGTGAGATATGGTCTCAATTTACCATCTGTGTTACAGAATCTGATCTTTATGTTTCAAAAGCATGAGAGAATTTTAAGTAGTTTTCTCAGGACATATTAAAAATAAAAAAGGGGGATATTAGGAGGGTTTTAACATAAGGGCACCATTCACTGCCTTGTACAATAAAAGGGCATACCAGGATAGCTCATTCAGGCCCTGTCTCCATGGCAGAAGGCCATTCAGAGCATGTATGTATTTTTGGGTATACCAAGTCTGGCTAGAGTGCTAACAGCTCCCAGCTGGGGCCTGCGGCAATCAGTTATGCAGCATGTGACTGCAGATCAATGTGGTTTATTATGGTGAGAAAAATCACAGCACCCACTGGGACCTGCTGTTTTCAGTCACTGCTTAGAGTTGGGATTTAATGATTAGCCCCAGCTGCCCTCAGGTCAGCATCAGTGTGCCAGATTCTGTCCTGATTCATCAATGGGTTGAATAGGGTGTAAGGGCAGAATTTGGCACTATAGTTCCTCAGTGGACCTACTGCCATAATAAGAGTGGCTGGCCAACTCGATTGGCCAGTGGTTAGACCTGGGTTTGTGTGGCTCAGTTTCTTCGTGGTTTCCCTGCTTCATACTGCTTTCTTGATCTCTGCACCAGGAGGGTCCACATTATTTCCCCACCCACCACCTCATTCTTTATCCTATTTTTGCTGGTTATTTGCTATATATGCTATATTTGGCTTTTACAGTGCTTATGTTTCATTGTTTCCTTTTATCATGCTACATTAAATCTACCTTTGTGCCCTGGGAATTAGAAATGACTACCTCTAGGGTATGGAAGGAATTTTGTGTTAGGCTTTTCCATGCTAATTTTGGCTGGCCAGGGGTAGATTTTACCTCAAATGCCTTTTTGCTTTCCTTGGGGATTCAGATATCTTGCACATATTAATGGTGCACCTTGTATGGTGTCTGGGTATGCAGCACTTTTCTGATTTACATGCATATGGGCAGTCCTTGCTGATAGAGCAGTATCCACTGGGGCCAGGTGAATCAAGAGACAGACCCTCACGTAGGTTAAGGCCTTGCCGTCATTGGATGAGAGCCATACCTGTGGAAAAGTCTGCTTATCATACTACACTGGACCATTGTTGAGGTATGGATAAGCTTGGAAATACAGAGGGGGTCTGTCTTATGACACAGTCTGTGGACCAAGACAGTGCCCTGATGATGCAGGTTACCGGCACATGAGTCTGGGTCAAGTTCAGCAAGAACTTCCTGCCTGTTTTAAATCTGGTTGATTTGAATCAAGGTTATTCAGTAAAGGTCAGATCCTTGCCTCAGTGAACATCTAGATGAATGGGGCTGTGTAATAGGGAATGTCATAAAGGCCCATGGAGGCAAGGTATATTTCCCACAGACCATTCTCTGGACACTACAGTAGCCTTAGGCTTTCAGTAGCCCTTACAGCACTTGTGTCCCTGCTGTAAAGAGGGAATAGCTTTTGGACCAGTGTATTTACGGAACCACTAGTCACACCTCCCAAGTCCCCTGCACATTGAGGTGCAGTGACTCTGTGATGCTGTGCTGCAGGAAGACCCCTATGTGAGCTCTACAAATCCTTCTACCCCTGCATAATGGAATGGTACCAGCTCTGCTGTCATTGCCCTTTTCAGCCATGGAGAGGGAAGATCTGTCCCCAAAAGCTGCTGCCATTGTGACCCCACCATGTGTCCCTCTACTTCAGGGGTGGGCAAACTACGGCCCACGGGCCACATCCGGCCCTTCAGCTGATTTAATCTGGCCCTCGAGCTCCCACTGGGGAGCAGGGTCTGGGGCTTGTCCCGCTGCCATGCTCCTGCCAGGAGTGGGGTCAGGGGCCACTCCGCGTGTCCCCCCTCCAGCTCCTACGTTTAGAAGCAGCCAGGGGGCTCCACATGCTGCTCCCTCCCCAAGCACCGCCCCCACAGCTCCCATTGGCCAGGAACTGCAGCCAATGGGAGCTGCAGGGACGGCGCCTGCGGACGGGGCAGCGCACAGAGCCACCTGGTTGCAGGGCCGGCTCCAGGCACCAGCTAAAGAAGCAGGTGCTTGGGGCGGCCAATAGGAAGGGGCGGCACTTCGGCCGCTGTTGGGGCGGCATGTCCGGGGTCTTCGGCGGCAATTCGGCGGCGGGTCCCTCAGTCGCTCTGGGAGCGAAGGACCTACCGCCGAATTGCTGCCGAAGAGTGGAGCGGCGCGGTTGCGCTGCCGCGGCTTTTTTTTTTTTTTTTTTTTTTTTTTTTTTTTTT